TGATTTTATGTCCCTTAATCCTTATTCCATCTATAAATATTTTGAGTTCATTTCACAATGTTAGAATTGCTGCAAACTACTCTTACATTATAGATTCTAATCAATTGGATGAAGGTTATATAATATAAAAATGAAAAATGTATATTAGTAGTACTTATAAAATTTAGGTAAAAAAAATTTTAAAACTATATTATTTTAATAAATATCAATTAAGAAAGAATAAAATTTTAAATATTTTATTTTGCAGTTGAGATTTCAATTCCCAAGACAGGGTTTAAAACTCTTGGTAATTTTGTTTTTTGAAGTGTTAATGTTGAAAATCCGCCAGGTTCCAACCCCTGGAGGCAGATTCCAACCCCTTGTACTTGAACATTAATTTACTTATCATATTTGGAGTATATGCATTCCAAAAAGGAGCTCCAATGGTAAAAACATTGATTTGGCACTCTCAAGCTATAAGAACCAGATCTAGAAGAGTGGAGAAAAAAGAAGAACAAAACCTTCAAGTTGAAAAACCAAGAGTGTTTAAGTTTCTACCTTGTACTTTGAGAATTCTCTTACTTTTTTGGTTCTCTTTCATTGTAATAAGTGAGAGAGGGATCGAGGAAATCTTGTTAGATGTAAGAATCCATCCTTGAAGTATAGGACTGGCTAAGAGATTTGTAACAAGGGATTTAAATAGTTGATAACACCAGCAAGTTATATTGTAATCGGTTTCACTAGCACTTGTTGAAGCTAGTATTAGTGGATTAAATCTTAAGCATAAGAAACTCAAGGATTGGATGTAGGCACCAAAGAGAGTGACAAACGAGGATAAATTGAAGCATTTAATATTTATTACCCTACTCTTTTAATTTTTGCAATTTAGTTTACAATAACTTATTGATTGCTTGTGTTTGATCATTGCTTTATTCAAAAATTGCATAAAGTTTTTCGAAACCAAATTCACCCCCCTCTTAGGTTGCCATCTGGGCCAACAAATTCCATGCTTTTACAACTTTTCTTCAAAGAAGTTGGAAGGAGGAAGAAATAGCTAATCACGTATTCCCCAAGGTTTTATCTATTTCTTCTTCACACTCATTAGAAGAAAATTTTGGTGCAAGCATGGAATAGCTGATCCAAATGTGTTGTGCTCTCTATCTCATTCACCTTACTGAAGGAAGATAACTATTTTGATGAACCTTTTGAAAATTTATTACACTTTTAAGAACATATTTGAAAATCATGTTGTGATGGTGGGTTGTTCAAGAGTGATGGTGAAGCTTTAAGGTCTTAAATCAGCTAGCATATTGAGATGTAAAACTATTAATATTGAAAAATTTACACGTATTTGAAGTTTTTTATTTGCCATCAGATCATCCATAAAATGAGATGTCAAACCATAGAAGGCCATGTTGTACAGGAGAGTTGTGCGGCCTTAGCTTGGATTTAAAATGCTCAATCTTAATGACATGATCATTGCTCAACTTAAAGAAAGAGATGTCACATATCCTAACGTTAAAAAAGGTGTCC